GTGTGTGTGTGTGTGTAGTATATATATATATATATATATATATATATATATATATATATATGTGTGTGTGTGTGTGTGTGTGTGTGTGTGTGTGTGTATGTACGAAAATGCTTCTCAAGAATAGTCTAGTAAACTCACCATATATGTATCTTTATTAGTCCCAAATAAGCTACATGTCTGTACCTTAGACTAATTCCCAGTGGTCACTTACATCTCTCTCCCTCTCCGTCTGGTGCCATGCGGCATGAGTACTGATGTTCTTATTCCTATATGTTCTCCTAGTGATGTTGTTTGATGTACCTACTCTGTCCTTTTTATTCCTATAGTAAAACCCTAAAACCCTAAACCCTAAAACCCTAAACCCTAGTGCCATTGCATACTATGTACTGCTGATGGGATACTTCTCCCGTACTCTGGATGCTCAGCGCATGCCCGGATGCTTACCACTTCGACTAATCACAACCCTATAACCTTATATCCCTAAAACACTATATCCTGATAGGACCAGTCGAGCCCAGTACTCAGTAAGTTGTATGAGCAATACACGGCAGAGTTTCAACGGAATCGCGAGCGTTTAGAACCATCTTCCCAATAGAACAGCCGGAGAGTCAACGTCCCCAGCCCATGGCATGTCAGCTGGAGTGCTGGTGAACTCTATTTACTCCTGATAGGCTTGTGTGCGGATAGACAGCTTGGACTTGGAAGTATCATACGTATAGGTCACTCACTGCAACCGACCCAATCTTAGTAGTAAATATATATGGTATATACAGGGGTATTATTAGTATATATGGTATATGTGGTATTAGAACTATACATAGTATACGTGATAAAGAACAACATATGACGGACCTGTTTGCGCACCCACAGGGCGCTGGTCTGACAGGGACGCCAAAAAAAACGACCGGAAATATTCTGAATAAATCAATACAAATCCAAAAACGTTCTTCTTTTGTGTTTAGATATGTACTGGCCGTTACTAATATCGTACGCAAACCTATCATGATTGAATCATTACAGATCCAAAATGGTTCAGCTTTTGTATCTAGATAGAAGCTAGCCGATACTAACATCGTACGAAAACCATGGCGTCCATTTCTGCTGTCTCTATATACATTGCAACTTGGTCGACAAATGTATTCTCCGGTCGTATAACTAGGACAGCAACGGTAAAGGAGACTTTATATAGAAGCATCTAGGGTTGCTGTATGTACCCTGCCAATTGCGATGCAATCTCTCAGTGTGAATAGACACACCTGCACATGAATAGAGTAGTATACTAAACCGCACTCGTACATTTATACTGCGAACAGCCTTAGCTTTCCTGCTGTATTGCTACCCGCATACTCCGAAAACTATGGACGTTATGGAACAGCAGCACAGCCTGTGGGTGTGATTGTGCATGCGCCCTACGGCCCAATGCCTGGAGTTAAATAGATCACACCACTTTGATAATCTGTTATAGTAATGTTCGATTGGTACTTTAAACCCTAGTATATACGCCAATGCGGTGGCTCAAGGCGTTTGATAATTCGAGGGGTTGGCATGCATCGAAAATGATTGTGTCGAAATTCTACCGTTGTGAGTACGAAGTATTCGGACTAAAACTCGGATATTGCGAAGATATTACTTAAAGGGTACAATCATACATACACAAGCGCATACGCCGGAGTCCTTTGTCGGAACGGCTCCCAACACAGCCTTCTGGGAAGACTTTAGAAGACTATACTTTCAAATGACATGTCCGCATATTCGGAGCTCTCGCTATACAAAACCGAACGAAAACAATAAATTGACTAATTCCAAAAACCAATACGTATATAAAGGCGTATTTTCAAAGCATACAGATACAATATGTATAGGCCTCTGCTTTTAAACTGTACGTTCTGAAATATATATTATTTTAGATAGCTGTCTCTTTTGTGTTTTAAAGAACAATAATACAATATTTAGTGATTTGAAAAACGTTGTTCAAAACTCTGTATTGATAATGAGCGTATGGCGGGTATTCACAATCGTATGATATGTAGTCGATGAAAATATTTATAATAAATTGTTCTAAAATACTTTATCATGATCATATTTTTTTTTCAATTTTCCACAAGAGAGACAAGGTTTTGCAACATCCTTGATGCATGATGCAAACGGAAAGGGCAGAGCCAGAGAGTGACTCTAGAGAGAGTAGAGACGTTATGTACTTTATCATTTATTTAGTGGTATATATCATATATGTATAGAAGTATTATGTTATTGTACACGATGTTAAGGTGCACGCCACTGACTGACTGACGCCAGAGCATAATTGGGAGTCATCGGGTGCACTCTGCTAGTAGTGCTAACTCATGACTGTACCGACTACTGTACAATACCATTTTGATAATATTTTAAATATGTTGAGAAGTCATTCGACACGCGGGTACGTACTACATTTCATTGCGTGCGATATTTATTTATTTTAAATAGCATGTTTATACCCAGACATATACCGCTACGCTACAAGCTGCGTCGTAATATCCTCATGTTTCAAAAGAAATATACACGTGACGTACGTACTACGTATATGCTTTATGTGATATATATGTTAAAAATATGGAGTCGGAACTCTGAACTCTGAACTCTGAACTCTGAACTCTGATCAATGGTGCGAAATCAGTCAAATCACTCAAACCAGTGACCTACCGAACTTGTGTGTAAAGGCTTTTAGGCTATGACGACTATACTATCTGGTTGTTGGTTGTTCATTGGTGTCTCTTGCCATAGCCTTCTATGTTCTAAATACTATTTACACCCTTCTTGTGTGCGACTTGCGAGTTTAAACGCTGCTTGCGCATGTTTAAAAAATACCGTGGTTATATTTGTTTTTGTTTTTTTAAACAAACGAATTTTTAATAATAATAAATAATAAATGCATGACGCCCAAGCGCCCAGGGCCCAGGGCCCCAGGCCTTAGGGTCCTCCGCTTTTTTCGCGTTGTGGTTCTGATGAACCTTTACACCAATCAGAACATGGGCTTTAAATATATGCTTTTTTTCATTGGGTTTCAATTCAGTGATTCTACTCTCATCTTAATGAATCCTTGCTCATCAGTCAATAATATACTGTAGTCAATGGCAACCGGCACATATTATGACCTGTAGGCATATATTAATTATTAGCACCCCCGGATGTCGGGAAAGGGTTTAATATACAGAACAGTTGATACTTTTCATAATGGTCCAATGGGTTACTCTGCAGCAATAAATCTTGCACAATCACGGCAGCTGGACTGGCTGCTGACCGGCTGAGCTCAGTGAGCAGCTCCAACGTCACTCTCGGATTTTCTCCTAAATACCCCTCTTGGCAGTTGGACAGACTTGAACTTCTTGCCTCTTGGTACATAATCAGTTAGTCACATACACTCTACGCTCTATGGTATAAATTCTACATAAATACAGCGAATGATGGAGAACAAGATGAATGAGCTACCCATTTTTTAATAATAAAATTGAGTGACTGTAGTCTTCTGTAGAGTGCACTCTACGTATTTTACGTCCTGTGAGTTTGCACTTTGCAGTGACGGTGTGAGTCGTGTGACTGCACTCGCAGTATTTACAATAAAGACATGTACGTTGCGAATTTACGACATGGAAGTTTGACACTTGACAGTTGCGCATAGCGCGCATGCATTCACTCCAAAATCGAGGAGCGCCCTGATATATATTGTGTTCACTTTTTAGTTTCTAGTTCATTCATACAGTCAACACTTTCAAAAACTACCGTGGAAGCCAAAGAAGCAACAGGGTTCTAAACAGAAACAACATCATCATGACAATGCGCAGAACTATCATCGCTATGCTTTTAGCAGTATCCTCCTTTGCAGTGTTTGCGAATGCCATGTACATCCCGGGCGCACAGCATTCTAAGTCAGTCCCCCGTCCTGTGCGACACATCAGCAATATATATGATACTGTCGATACTGACACCCACAAAACATTCGGAGATTCGGTTGGTAAAGCAATGATGGGGGTTACAAGACAATCAGATTTTAATCAGATGAATACTATTGTACAGCGAAAAGGTGCGAGCTCGGCGGCGAAGTCTGTGAATGATAACAGACGTCGAGATATTAAGCGCACTACTATGAAGCATGTTTCCCATGAGAGCAAACCACTCACAGCGCAGATGGCAGAGATCAAGCGCAACTTCGAGATGCGTCTGGGTGACCACTTCAGTGAGCAGTCTCATTCTGAATACATCTAAATTTATATAAGAGCAACAGAGTGATACTCCTAATATATATATATATATATGAACAACAGAGTGACACTCCTTGAATGGATCAACCTATTCAAAGTCAACAACATACCTCCATCAACTACAGCACAAAACAAAAGCCCCCTTTCGGTTGCAAACGACAATCGCACTCATGGCTGACACTGTGGTGATACAGCAAGGGAACGGGATGTAGTAAGAACATACAACTACCCCACCTTGTGACTCATCGGACCTCATCAGTGCCCCTTCCTTATTATATGGATACCTACATCATTCTGAACTCGACTATGCTGGACAGTAAGCATAGAGAAAGTAAGAAAACCTCTTGTTGATTCCCCTCTCGGTGAACATCCTTCCAACTCAGCCGGCTACAATAGCATTGACTGTGTTATCCTCTTTTCTACTTTAATCAGCCGACGAACCAGTTACATGCAGACTATATTAAAACTGTTTAAACCATATTGAAATTACTTTTGTTTTATTGTTTGCGAATGAGCATATCAATCTATTCGAATCGGAACGAGTTTCCCTTTGGTATCCAGTTGCAGACCGCGATTTTCTGATTTAGCTGGCTGACAATGCTGTTCACATATGGAAAGTACAACTTGCATCGTGTCTTTTAAAACCACTATGAAATACGTGTACGATACGGTGTTCCTCATCCACGCCACACCACTACGTTGACTTCAAAATACGCGCCTGACAAATCGTCCTTCTGTACTTAGGAGTAAGTTAATAAACATTGCTCCACATACTATAGGCAACAGAAAGGCACAATGTTAGCGGCCTGTCATACGAGAGCTTTGCACAAAAACACAATAACAGCTGCAAACTAATTCCCAGCTTATAAACAGTCTACTCAAAGTTAGGCAACGAAAATAATATATTACATAGATTCAAGGGAATTATATA